GGCAGCAGGAACTGCTTGGCCATCTCATGAGGTTCATCTCCAGAAATGAACTAGCTCCAACCAAGTTTTCAACTTTGTGTTGTTCCATCAGATTCAAGTCCTGGGAGACACTGGTTGGCTGAGCTTTGGTTGTGTGACCCCATTCCTTGGTTACAGCAGCCTAGGTGACCTTGATTCACAGTCTCACAAAGACTACACACAACAAATGTGACATTATCAGAAGTAGGATGAATAGATGCTGGGTGGCAAGAAAGCAGAGAATGTCCACCACAGGACTTAATAAACATGTGTTGATTGAATGACAGTGGTCCATTTCTTTGATTCTGAAGACATTTTGCACTATAAGATACTATAAGCTACTTCTTTAGACCTTATCAGTGAACACCTTGGAGAGCATCGGTATCAGATTCTCTCTCCTTATGGAAGTGAGAAAAAGACCTTACAGAAAGGACAAATGGAAGTACTACTTGATGGTGGGAGGGCACTAGAAGAGATGAATAAAATCTCAGGTCTGTTGCCTCCTAGAGAAATCTTTTCCGACCTTTCTGACTAGGTCAAGCCTTTCTACATTCTATGCTGTTTCAGCTCTAAGTCTTCTCCTTTGTGGCTCAAAATAAAGTGAAAATTAAATTGATTTGAGTTTGTGATTAATGGCTCTTTCCCCTGTAAGTCTGCATTGCTACAAACAGGGCCAATGTCTCTTTCTGCTAACCTCTGTATCTCTATTATCTATCCCAGAGCCTGACATATTCTAGGTGCTTAATAAATGCTTACCGAATGAATGAAATGAGTAAGCAAAAAAATGAATAAGTGCTAAAAGGGCCAGACAAATTGGTCAGCTGCACAACTATCTAGGGTAGATCCTGCTCACTTCAAATCAGGGGCAGGCTCCACCTTTCCCTTCCTAGGCACAGGAGGTTGCAAGAGGGAGGTTAGAAGTTGCAACAGATTAGCTAAGGCACCATCCACTAGGGGCTGGGCCACCCTAGGCTCCTTTTCCAGAATCTGCCACTGGAGGTTTGAAGCCCATTAGGGACTCACAGCCATAATCCACAACTACTGGGAGAGAAAATAAGTTATTCACCTTCTGACCTGGGGTATCCCTTCCTTGCTGTGGGCATGCACCCAAGCAGGAGCATTGTTTGCATGGATGTTATACTCCCCACGTGGCCGATCTGCATCTGTCTCCTGAGACAAAATACTAAAAAGCCCTCCAATTTGTATTGCACTTCATAGTCTAGAAAGCTCTTTCCTAATTATATCCTTTGATGCTCACAACAACCAACCTGTAAGACAGACAAGTGTCATTGTCCCCCTTTTATAGATGAAGAAATGAAGTCTCGGAGCCCTGCTTAAGGCTGTGTATCTAGGGAACTTCACATATGACATAAACTTCAAAGCCAGGCAATTCTATTCTTCTACAACATCTTGTGTGCAGGGACCATATTTTTAGCTTAAAAATCTCCAGGCTTTCTTTGAAGCCCTAAAGATGGATAGCTCTCCTCTCTTGTTATTGAACACAATGTTGCAACATGGTAAACAAAAGGATTCAGGAAAACAATATACTACTTCCCTTCCGATTCATTTATGACTCCTGGTGATAAAGTTTTATTGTAGTGAAATCATATTAGCTTTCATCCCAGTTTGGACTGACTTAGAGACAGACAGACAGACAGACAGACAGACAGAAAAAGAAAGGAAGAGGGAGACTTTGATTTCACTTGCAGTTCAGTTAAAAATTTTTGTCTTGGGGTTTGGAACTGACAGATTAACTCCATATTCTTCCCATTTTTGATTCATGTTAGGTCACCTCAAATTCCTGCCAGACAGTAAAGGCTCAGCCTATGGATCCAGGCTCTCCACTCTCATTCCAGCCCTAAAGTCTTCCTCTCTGGTGCAGGTCATGAAAAGAAGGTGATATCTGGATGGAGATATCTGCTAGATCTGATCACTTCTTGTCAGGGGTCAGAGTTCCTAATGTGCCTTTGTAATTGGAACTTTTTCTGCATGCCCAGCAGAATGAAGAAACTTACTCAATGCCACAAATACCTCATAAGTGGAGGAGTTGGGATTTACATCTAGACATGCCTACTACCAGTTGGGAGGGGAAAATAGAAGAAAGGAAACAATGATTGCCAGTGGAAGCCTGGAAGCCATGAGCAGAGCCTTCATTATACATGGAAGAGAGGTGCCCTTTCAACCCAAACTCCCTCCCAGGTCTTCTACATGTGTGAAAATATAAATTTCTATTGCATTTGAGCTACTATAAAATTTGGGGCATTATTTGTTGCAGCAGGTAGCATTTGTCCTATTACTCCACACAGGCACCTAACCTAGCTTTGCAGGTTTCTTTCAGAAGGTCAAGTCTATGCTGATTCTAAAGCATAAGTAATTGTCATATAGGCAAACATCTGGGGTAAAGGTCTCATGCCTAGGCTCTCTCTGGATGCTGGAGTTCAGAAACAAGACCAGCCCGTGAAGGTGGTCTGAAATACAGGCTTCTTTGGTGTGCTCCTCCTGTTGTCAGCCTGACCTTGTAACTCACATCTCTCTCCTTCCAGGCCCTCAGCAAGAGGCTGAACCAGCTTCTAACAGGGTCTGAACAACAGCAGATGGGTGAGGGAACACACAAAAAATGATGTCACCCTTTGAGTGTGTCTCCCAGTCTTACATTCATACTGTTTCCTTACTTCTTTTGTCCATAGTCACAACAATTGCCCATCCATATATCACATTTAAAGTTATTGAGAACATTGGAAGAATCTGTCGGGAAGCCACTGTCTGCTGCTCTGCTTCCCAACCCTGGCCAGGCATCTGCCTTCAGCCCTGCGTGAGAAATCTTTCTCCTGCCCCATGACTCTGCTCTGATTTCCAAGCAAATGTTCATGCAATGCATATCACAAACAGCTCTGCCATGAGGGAACTTGATGGGACGATGTTCACAGTGACTCCATCTGTGGGGGTTTTGTAAAGACTGGGGTCTTGGCAAGAGGTTGAAGACTTCTTTCTCCTTATGCTTTGCTGCAGTCAGTTTTTCCATTCATTTAAAGCTTCACCAGAAGTCCATCTCCATGGCCCTGTGCACAAAATATCTACATTCCCCTGGTTCCCTACCCTCCCTCCCACCCCTGAATAAACGACAGCTCATTTGTAAGAGGTTTTTAATTTCATCTTGGTATGCCATTAAGGAGTGGAATAAGGATCTCTATTTGTTTTCACTCACATAGTATCTGCTACGTTCTCCAGCTGATCTGTACCACAGAAGCCTGTGGAGCCGCACAGCATCGGCGTCATGGTCACCCACCAGACTGGGGTGGGTTTCCTGGTGGTTTGCATAAATTACAAACAAGAGCACAAAAATCACACAACACAGACTCTACCATAAGGGGACGTGCTCCTCTGGCCTTGCAGAGAGTGAAGGGGACACATCGCTGTGTTCAAGGCTCCGATGATGCCCCGAGGAGTGAGGTTAAGCCTGTCACAGCCCCTCTCAGATAAGTCCAAGCTGAACCTCTGTCTTCCCCACTAACTCATTCTGGTTTCCCAAGAGGCTTCTAGCACAGAAGGATCCCATCCTAGCACCACAATCGGAGACCAGGGTATGGAACTGTCCCCGCGTACATGGCTGCTGGTCCTCTGCGCTCAGGGTCAGAACAGTGAGCTGGAAAGAAGAGCCCTGGGTTTCCACATGGACCCCTCTGCCTCTATGAGCTTCACGAGGCTGTTTAGAAATGGACCCTCTAGATCAGGGCCTTCACAATATTTCTGTAAAGAGCCAGACAATACAGAGAGTAAATATTTGGGGCTTTTTGAGCCATAGTCAGTCTGTCACGTATTCTTTTTCTCCTTTTTTTTTAATGACCTATTAAAAACGTAAAAACCATTCTTAGCTGGCAGGCCATGCAAAACAGGCCCACAGGTCGCAGTCTGTCCACCCCTGCTCTAGAACACCACCACGCCCTCATCCATCCCCTCAGCCTCAGCCTCCTCACCACGGAGCGACTCTGGCATCCTCTGAGCTGTCCTGAGCTGGGATCTCTGCCAGCCCACTCATGTGTCCTGGGGGTAAATTAAGCCTCAGTATCCCCCAGTGAGGTAGATACATGCTATCAGCCTCATCCCACATTTGCAGGTGCTGGAGCTCAAGAGCAGAACCCACCTTCCTAATGCTACCCAACAGCCACACGTCAGGATGTAAAAGAAAGCCTGAGAGTCTGGGCATTACATTTTCTAAGAATATGATCTGGGACTGTCCTGTCTCACCTAAGCCCAGTGATTCAACCCAAAAGAGAGCAAGAATCCATGAGAGAACACCATCAGCCACATAGAGTCGCTTTCCAGACCTCAATGACACTCTGAAAACAGAATGAACTCAAGCACTCAAAGCTATGGGGGTAGGTGGAACAGCCCTCTCTGCCCTGCCGACAAGTCTCTTCAAACTAAAAATAAAGTTTATAAAAGTAAATTATCTCATTTTATAACTTAAGTTCATCAAGCATTTCCTTAAATATAGTTCACACTGAAAATAAAGTTACTTTTGCTGTACAGTTGGTGTCTGTTATAATTAGGAATAAACTTTGATGATAAAGTATGAAAGGTTACACAGTCACACACACATCTACCTGTCTGTCTATGGTTGTATAGATGGATAGACATATGCACCTCTTGACAAGAGCTTCCCCAAAATGGTGGGAAGTTGTTAGGAGTCCCTAGGTATCTAGTTTGCATGAGAATGTCTATATTAAAAGTCCCTGTCCTTAACGATAAACACATCTTCATATCTAATGCTAAGACTCATCAGAAACATTAAACTATGCAATCCATAATGTATTCGGTCTTTGGAAATGCTGAGCTACACCATATCATTATACAACAGCATCCCCAACACAACTCCCTCCCCAACCCACCTCTTCCCTGGCCTCCCGTCCTAAAGCCAGTGACCCCTCACATAATACAGTTGTTGCATATGGGAGCCTAGCCACAGAACTCTAGGGGAAGACTCAAGAAGTGAAGTAAGAATTCTGCATGGAGTACAGGTGGTCAATGGGGTTTCCCACTCTGGACTGCAGGGGCCCGGCTTCTGAGGTTGCTAGAAAACAGTCACCCAGGTTACTGAGAGAGGTGTCATCACTATCCAGGTCATGGAAAAGGGGTTCAGCACCTGAAATGGAGAAGAAACACTGGCATGAGGGTCTGGAAGAAGAGACTCACTTCACTGCTAGGAAATCCAGCTCAAATCAACAAATGTTTCTTCAGCACATCCCCCAGGTGAAACTTTCCAGTGGGTGTTGATGAAAAGGTGGGGGTCGGGGAGAACTACATAAAAAAGCAGGAGGGGGCATAATCCCCACCCCACAAAAGGTCTATTGTCTCTTTAAGGGGCTTGTGTCCAAAGTGCAACAACTGAAAACAATATGAATTAGGAATACAACAAAGTGCTAAACTGAGTACAGCATAAGCAAACCTCAGAGTGTCTAGACAAGGAGTGTGGGGAGTAGGCAGAACACGTTACCAGACGCTGGGGAGAAGGGGGCAGGGCTCCTGCAGGACTTGAGCCTTCAAAATAGTTCTTAAAGGAGAGATGGTATAAAAGAAAAAAATCAGCTCTTCAAGTGAGGCTAAGGAAACCTCCCACGATGACATTTGTCCTTTCGAACAGCAACAGCATACTGAGTGCCTGCTGTTTCCACAAATTTGTACCACAAAAGAAAGGAAGGTTAACTGCTAACCCTCAACTAATTTACACCCTTGATAGAGATGCCAGTAGGGAACACTGTGGAACAGCTGAGGGACCACTGCAATCTGAACCCAGTGGGTTTTACCTCCACTTCAAGTAAATGGGAAAGGTGAAAACTGGAGTTTACATAACTTGTCATGGGGCTTTGATTATTCCTTTTAATAAAGGACTCACCACAGGAATCCTGTATATAACAAGACCCCTGAGACTCTGAAAACTTAAGAATTTGCAAAAAATCCGTTTGCCCTGTTTTCCCATAGCTGTGGAGTAAAGAATGTTACAGATGCAACAAGTGTATTCTCAGGAGGCAAAGACGACAGCCATCACTGCAACATGCACATATATCTCTACAAATGCATGAATAACTGAGGTCAGCCGGTGATGGTCCTGCAAAGGGCCAGATCTTAATAAGTGTTTGTGAATGTATGACATGGGAAGGTAGGGGTGATTTTACAATAAGTAGTATGGTTTTTTAATGAAGGTAAAACAGAAGCCGTTTGACAAAATCTGTGATCGGAGGCTTATGTCTCTGATGCTAATCATTTGAAGTCTTGCTGAATTAAACTTTATTTTTAGCTATCAGAGTAATTTATCATGGATCACACAATATGCATTGATGCATTGCATCCACCACTGACCTTCTCTATATATAAATGTTGTGACCTATACTTGGCCCTGAGATTGAACTTGAGCCTTCCACTCCAGAGCTTACCCCACCCCACCAAGGTCTCCAGGCCCCCAGCTGCTGTTCATTAGCAAACTGGGCAGGTTGGGGAGGCTCAGCTATTCACACATTCAGCATTTAATTTACGCACCCGTATAGGGGAGATACTTTCCACTTTACAAGTCAGTTTCTGTTTCAGGAATCAAATTAGAGCACCTACTAATACCCACAGTAGAATAGTCCAATTAGAAAAATTTGTCTTCCGTGCTTTCATATATTTTCTTTCTTTAGGTAAATGTTTGCTTAATTAAGGCCTTCTGCCTATGTCAGCACTGATATTGTTTGCAAATATATTAAGAGTGGTATCTGGCATGAAACACAGGATTCTTGGAATTCCATCACAACAAGCTGGTTGTCAGTGAAAGCACAACCTCCTATTTAAAACTAACAAAGCAGCAGCTTGAAAACGAGAATGAACGAAAACATTACTAATGAATATGCACGTGGGTCTTTCTTCTGTAGCCACTGGTCAGGTGATTCTAGCAGAATTTTGTGAGGCATTTATTCTGCTTTGGAGCTTCAGTGGGAACATAGAAACTGCATCAATGTGTTTGGGAGGGCAGGAGAAACCCAAGCAAGCAAGGCATGAGAGGGCCCTGTGGGCTTGAGGCCCTCTTACCATAGGGGTGCATGTGGTCTCCAGGCATCTGGGGTGGGGTGAGCCCCTGTCGGAAAGGATCAGAGCTGTAGACACTCTGCTCGATGGCCAGGAGTTGCTGCGGGGTGGGCAATGCCGTGTAGGGGTTCATGATCCCTTCCATGCCAGCATTCCCACCACCATTTGTCTGAGCTGTGGAACAAAGAAGAAGGCAGGTCATTCTCAGTGTGCAGCCCAGCAGGGTACCTCCCTGGGTCCTGGTTTCCTCATTTGTAAGATGGGATGGGATGAGCAGACATCAGTGGTTCCCAGCCTGTGCCCCACCAAAGACCATCAGGGATCACCCTGGAGGACAAGGATGGGGTGGGGGCTGGGCAGCTGGACTTTGAGAGCATCCTTCAACTATACCATGGAAACAAAGGGTTTGATGCCATACTCTGGTATGGCAGCAACTGGAAAGGATGACTCTAAAAATCCTTCTGGGGATAACCCACTATAAGTCTGTCCTTCAAGTGAGAATCATGACACTGGCCCAGCTGACCTTGCAGGGCTGATATGAAGATTCCATGAGACTCTGTGTATGTGCTTTGGGATTACAACTTGCTACACTTGTGTATAGAATTGTATAAGAAAAGGAGGACTCAGTTCCTACCTCCATGTCTTCCTGTGGTTCTCTGAACATGGCTCCATCAACTCTTAGAGACTCTATTCTCTACCAGCCTCTGCTTTCTTAAATCCACCCTAGGAACTACCCTTATAATTCTTTAAACAAAGTCCCAAGCACTATGAGTTTGTGTTCTCATGATGCCTTTGAGCTTCTTGGCCTACATGGAGTCAACTCACATGGCTCCTACTAAGGTCCCTCATAGCCATGACCCTCTTCGAGCTTCACAAGGGCCCTGTCAGATAGGGCTAGCAGGCAGTACGATCCCATCCTAGGCACAGGGAGATTGAAAGTGGGTCCCAGGCCACACAGCACTGGGGGTGGAGCTGAGGGCAGAACTGAGGCTCCTGCCCAGCTTGCTTCTCCACCCTTCCCAGCACCCATGCTCCTATTTCATTTCTTCTCTCCCTATTTAGCCTAGAAGCGAAGAAGCTAAGGGAACTCTTGGCTGCAAGAGTCAAATTCTAGACACCTAGCCCAGGTGTCACACACAAGGCAGGGTCCACCTAAGGTCAAGGGGCTCTGTGGAGGAGCCTGAGAGCCAACATCACATTCCGCAGCCTTCAAAGTGTGGTCCACAGACCAGAAGCAAGAGCATCACCTGGGAGCTTGTTAAAAATGCAGACTTTCAGGGCCCACCCAGACCTTATAAATCAGAATCTGCACTTTATGAGATCCCAGGTGGTTTATGTGCACATTAAAGTGTGGGAAGCCCTGCTCTAAGGTACAGCCATTCAAGGAACTCTCCCAGATGGCTAAGTTGGGGACCGTGTTCCTTTAAAATGACATTGTTGTTTGGGCTGGCTGGTTAGCTCACTTGGTTAGAGCATGGTGTTAGTAACACCAAGGTCAAGGGTTCAGATGCCCATACCAGCCCGTCGCAAAAAAATAAAAATAAAAAAGAACAACATAGTTCCAATCTATTGGTTCTTGATTTCTTTTTTTATTTTTAATTTCTTCGAAGGCTCCCACATCTGTCCCTCTTCACCCCCTCACCAATCCTCATGCCACCCCATCAAAAAAAAAAGACAAATGAAGGGTACCTCCAAGTAGGGGTGAATGGAACATAGAATCAGAGAGATGGGTTCTAGCCCCAGCTCCATCCCTTAGTGATCTAGGACCACGTCCAATCTCACAGAGCCTTTGTTCGCTTGTCTGTGAGATGGGGATAGTAATAACTTCTCTGCTCACCTTAGGGAGTGGGTACTGTAAGATCAAGTCAGCATGTGTGGAGTATAAAAGTGCTCAAGAAAGGAGGGGATTATTGTTTCACTATCATTATTTTTACTCTTTTGCATTATATTGGGAAGGAATAAGTCACAGTGGTGTCTTCTATTAAACTGCTGAGCCTAAAAGAAGAGGAGAAATGACACGTCTGACTCTGCACATGGTACTGACATAGTCTCCAGACACTGTGCAGGCTCTGGGCAAGAGAGCTTTGGACAAGGTTTGTGCCACCTCCCATCAGCAGATCTAGGTGTGCAGCCCAGGTGCCCTCAACCCTCTCACAAGATCTTCATCGCTCAGTCCTCACTTGAAGGTCTCTCTCTCAAACAGTTGTAAACTGGGCTTCGCTGAGCCTGGAAAGTCATTCAAAGAGACGGGTGGCTGGAGACCTGTGTAGGAGAGGCCTGGACTCTGGCGAGGGGCAGCAGGCTTACCAGAACTCAGCCTCTGGCTGTTCTGCTGGTCTTGCTGCTGCTGCTGCTGCCGCCTGGCCAGCTTCTTCATCTGATGAGGAGAGGACCACAGGATTAGAAGTCAGGGGACCTGCCGCAGGCTCCCGTGGGCAGGGAGAACCAGAAGTGAGCCCTCCCCTGAGCAGGCTTGGGTAAAGCAGAGGGACCGCTTCTCTTGCTTTTACCCAGCAAAGGAGCCACGCATGAGGAATGGCGTCCCCAGTGAGAGGCCTGGCAGCTGAGGGCTTTCCACTTTGTAGCAGTGGGAAGACGGCAGGGGAGAGGCAAGGGCACAGCTTGTCACAGCAGGAACAGGAATCTCCCCTCCACAAATAAAACTTGATGCTTAGGTGTGACAGTTTACAGGTGGTAGTGAGTGTGGCTGTGGGGTCTGCAGCCCAGGCTAGATGCGTAGAGCAATGGGCTGCTGGTGGCTATTGTCCCTCCTTCCCCTTGTGCTGACCTCATGTTTGAGACATCCACCAGAGATGCCTGCCCCTGGGTGAAGAGCTTGTCTCCCAAAGCACCCTGTTAACACACAGACTTCCTTGAGGGAACATTTTAACCCAGTGTTTCTCAAACTGTGTTCCATGGATTAGGGTTCCATGAGATGTTAATATACACTTTGTGTGTGTGTGTGTGTGTGTGTGTGTGTGTGTGTGTGTGTGTGTGTGTGTGTGGTGGAGGGGAACACTAGATATAAAAAAAAGTTTCTGTACTGCAAGATTTCCCAGAGCTTTAAGTGTGACCTTCTGCTTTATGGATCCACAGGCTAGAGAGCCAATCAAACTCATTGCACCGTGGAGTCTTTTTCTGATGGGTAACATATCACCAGCCCTGTTCTGAGGAATTCAGTCAGGAAAATGCCACCTTAACCAATCATGATCAAATAACGAGACAGGACCCTAGAGAAATGGGCCACAGAACACACATATTTTCAGTAGAAAGATAAATGAGTAAAAGGTCTAAAACAAAGACCAGACTGCAACGGGGAATACAGACCTTGATAGGATCCAGAAGACAGTATGATGGTTTGGGCCTGTATTAGTGAGGGGTGGGCACTGGAAGAGGGAAGTAATTCTACCATGACATAATGTTGTCTTAGCCCAGTCATATGTGTGCTACCTCAGCTTCACTTTGAAATTTTTAGAGAACTTTGGTATTTGGATTAGATCAATGTGAATTAAAGAACATGTGTTTACCAAACGACCTAGACATTTATTTGGACAGACAGCTGGCCAGTTCATAATCATGGCCACTAGGAATATCAAAGCCATTTCACTGGAACAAATGCCTCGTATCTCTCCTTCTGCAGGGCTGCTACAGCTGAAATGATTGTTGATAACAGAATTTTTTAATCAAAAGAACTATTCAATCCAATGAGTTAAGGTTAGAAAACCTGGCTGCAAGTACAATGTCCTGCTGCTATTATTTCAGGAAACCAGCAACACAGAGACAGACAAAAGTAGGAAGCAGATTACCTTGGCTCTCTGGTTCTGGAACCACACCTGGACAACACGGACGCTCAGCCCTGTTTCTGCAGCCAAAGTCTCCCTCACCTTGAAGAATTTGAACATTAGAAATATAGAAGCATTGTGATCTCAGGGTAGGAGGCAGAACATTTCCTATGTAGCATGTATGGAAGCCAACAGGCTGCATCTTATATAGGAGCCAGCTAGTGTTTAGCATGCTTCCCTCCAGGTAGAGATAGAGTCCTTCACCAAGTAAACAAAGGAATAATCATTAGTTTAGATGGGCATTCCCAAGAGGCATTTCTGGGTTTCTCGGAGTTTGAAAATTAGCCCTTCAAATGGTTCTTAGACATTAGTTAGGTCTATTTGGTGCTTTGGCTGTTAACCATGCGTACACATTAACCTACTTAAGGAGAAGGAAGGTAAAAATCACTTTGCAAAAACAAATGGTTCTCTCTTGTTCTCTTCTCCTGCCTAAGTTCATTGACCTAAATTTATGGTTTCGTCCCTCCTAGCTCTAGGTGAATTTGAGTGTTTCATGAATATTCATATTCACTGTTTGAGCCCTGCCCAAAGAAAATAAGATGAGAGCCATGCATACTCTGGAAGAGCCAGGTAGACAAGTCTGAGCCATGCACATGCACTGGGGCCAAGCAAAGCCAGGACAACCGGGATCTAGATAATGGAGATGTGTTTAAACATCTGCCCACCATGCGGGCACAGGGCAAGGAGCTAGCAAAGTGGAGAACAGAAGAGGCCAGAACCACAGATAGATTATCAGAGTGAGCCTGAGAGACACGGCCCCCTCTTGGTTCAATTCTGGGGAAGAGATGGGATTGAAGGAGCTCATTGAATAAACACATGAGTAGAGCAAACCAGAGGCCTTGGAAAGTAATTCACCTTTATCATGCTACCTGGGCTGAGGCTTAGAAGTGGAGTGATTAGACAAGGTTTTTAAAGCATATCCTTCTGCTAAGACAACTAGAATAGGAACATACGCAGGGGCCCCACCTCCACCTGCTGAAATTCTATCCATTCTTCAGAGGCCCAGCTCAAAAGCCACCTGTTTCACAAAGCCTCGCCTGACTCCCCAGACAGACATGACCCTTCCCTTCCCTGTGGCTCCCAGCTGCTCCTCTGTTAGGGTCCTCAGAGCTCTCTCCCCAGTGTTGCAGTATGTGTGCGCGCATCTCCTCCTCGCTGGTGGCCTGGAGGCCACCTGGGGACAAGCACCCAACACAAGGCCGTAGAGAGACTGGGAGTTCAGGACATGTAGAATAAGCAAATGAAGGAGGAAGGTTATGCTCTGACTTGCGCAAGTCTCCTTGGCAGGTATTTAACTTTCTACAAGTGCTTCCCCTGCAGGGGAAAGAAGAGTTCTGTAGGTGAATCTTCTCAAAGGTCAGAAGGTGTGGTCGACCGTGTGACTGTTCAGCAAATGCCCATCCTTCCCTCCCCTGCCCCATGGGGGTGTATGCTTCACCGCTGTATCCACATTGGGCTGAGCTGCATGACTTGCTCTGGTGTGTGGAATGTGAGTGGATGTGGTGCGTGTGACATCCAGCAAGAGGTTTTCAATGGCCTCCGCTTTGACTTGGCCTCTTGCTTTCTGCCATCCTCATGAGAACAACGTGCCACAGGAGGGTGCTGCTCTGTCAGCCTGGACCCTCGAATGAGAGACAGGTGGAGCAGGCCTAGACCTGAGCCCAGCTGGGCCACAGCCAACCTCCAGCCAAGGGGCAGGAAAGAAATGTTCGTTGGGAGCCACTAAGACTTTGGTTTCTTTTTTATCACAGCAAAAGCTGACTAATACAGATACAGATGCAGGAAAAACAATGGCACAATTTTTTAAAATGTATTTCTTTTATGAATTTCAATAAAAAATGTTTTCTTTTCTTTTTATTGTGTAAAAGTCAGTACTCAGCATATGGCAGGCAGTCAATAAATGCAAGTACTCAATAAATGGGCGCAGCTATTTGAGGCAGAGATTGCCAGTTGTCCCCAACATCTATTCTCTCCTCCCTCCTATCAGTAATTGACTCCTTAAGCTTTAGCAGGGCACATGGTCACACAGATTGACTCATTTCCCATAGGAAAATGAGCATAGGAAATGTGACCATAAGACTAAATTTTGGCCAATACATATGAGTGAAAGTGATGCAAACAACCCCTGGGAATGTCCTTAAAAAGGCAGCTGCTCACCCTCCACCTCCTCTTCCTCCACCCTCGTGGCTGGAAAAATGGTGACAATGGAGCAGCCCCTCAGACTCATGTGATGAATAACAGGGCTGCCCCAACAGTCTTGGCTTGCTCACTTCTGGACCGTGACATCAGAGAAAGATGACCTCCTATCTCATTAAGTCACCGGATTTTTTTTACATGAATGTTCACAGCAGCCCTATATGTAACAGCCCCAAACTGGATACGACCCAAACTCATCTACAGGTGAATGGACAGATGGACACATCCACACACACACACACATTCACACACACACACACACATCCATGCACACACACATATCCACGCACACACACACATCCACACACACACATCCACGCACACACACCCACATCCACACACACACACAGACCCACGCACACACACACACATCCACACACACACATCCACACACACACATCCACGCACACACACACCCACATCCACGCACACACACACACACATCCACACACACACCCACACACATCCACACACACACGCACACACACATCCACACACATCCACATCCACACACACACTCATCCACACACATACACATCCACACACATACACATCCACACACACACACACACCCACACACACCCACACACACGCGCACACACACATCCACACACATCCACATCCACACAACATCCACACACATCCACATCCACACAACATCCACACACATCCACATCCACACACACACTCATCCACACACACACCCACGCACACACACATCCACACACATCCACATCCACACACACACTCATCCACACACATACACATCCACACACATACACATCCACACACACACACACATCCACACACACCCCCACACACATCCACGCACACACACACCCACGCATGCACACACATCCACACACATCCACACACACACTCATCCACACACACACCCACGCACACACACATCCACACACATCCACATCCACACACACACTCATCCACACACACACCCACGCACACACACATCCACACACATCCACATCCACACACACACTCATCCACACACATACACATACACACACATACACATACACACACAATCTATACACATCCACATCCACACACATCCACATCCACACACACACACACACACACTCACGCACACACTCATCCACACACACATCCACACACACTCATCCACACACACACACACACTCATCCACATACACATCCACACACATCCACATCCACACACACACTCATCCACACACATACACATCCACACACAATCTATACACATCCACATTCACACACATCCACATCCACACACACGCACACACACACTCACGCACACACTCACCCACACACACATCCACACACACACTCATCCACACACACTCATCCACACACACACTCACCCACACACACACACTCACACACACACACCCACATCCACACACACACATCCACACACTCATCCACGCACATACACATACACACACATACACACACACATACACATCCACACACACATCCACATCCACACACACACATATCCACACACATACACATCTGCACAGCAGAATTCCGTTCAACAAGAAAGAATGAACTGCAACATGGATGAATCCCCACATCACCACACAAAGTGGAACAAGGCAGGCCACAAAAGAATATACACTGCAAACCAGTGTGTTTTTCCACTCTTTGTTAGGGCATCTTGGTCTATACCACAACTGGTACCTGTTGTTATTGTTATTCCCATTGCTTTCCATGGAATGAAAGGTGTGAGCCAGGGCCATTTGGAGTACGTATGCATGCCTGCAAGCATGGGGAGATTCTGTTACCTCCCTGGCCATAGCTGAATGGTCCCTGGAGTCTCCAATAGGGCGCATGTCCACCTGCACAGGCTCTGTCTGAACAGCCTTCCCCATTGCTCTGACCCCCAAGTATCCAATGACACCCCAGAGGAGTCCGGGTGCACACAGAGGGGTGGAGCCCAGTTCCCTTTCCTCCCTCCTCTGTCCTGTACCTTCCTGCAGGGCTTGGAGGACACTTCAAATGAGGCCTTGAATGCTCTCCTCTGTTGGGTTGTCAAGATGGTTCGGGGGCGTTTGGGGCGCTTGTGGTCCTTGCCATCCTCAGCAGCTCCTTTCCCTGTCCCATGGGCTGACTTGCAAAGGCTTTCTTCATCATCACTTTTGCCTAAAGGAAGCAGAAAACAATGTTGTGAGTCCTGTTGAAAGTCACTGACTGGAGATGTATGTTATACTATAACAAAGTGCTCAGGTCCACATCCCCAGGGTGGCTTTATGTGTGAATGCAATAACCTATGTGGTATTGATTTGAAAGCTTCCAGGAGCTAAGAAAAATACTCGAAACCCAGAGTCAAGAACCAGAAAGTCCGACATCACTCCTCAGAGCTTTAGCACAATATGATGCCCTGGCTCCACAGTTACCAGCTGCGTGGCCTTGGGTGAGTCACTCAACTCTATGACTCTATTTCTTTATCTACAAAATCATGACATCAGAGAATCTGCTTCACCGGGGTTGTGAGGATTAAATGAGTTTATACTTATAAGGCACTCAGAATGCTGCTTAGCATATAATAAGTGTTAGTTACTAATATTATTTCTCAGATATCATTTTTCAAGACTAGACCTGAAGAAGTTATATATAACTTCCTAGACACTATGTCTGAAATTCTAGATACTGCCAGGAGCTAGAAAATATTACCATTTAAAAGGCTGTACAGAAACAACATTAGAATACCTATTGGTACACATAACTGAGAATGGACAGATAGCACCAATTAATTAGCCAAAATTGCTTGATTATAAAATAAATAATTCTACTAAAGTAGCTGTATAACTATGTGAAGTACTTCGACTCTATATTCAGTGAGCAATTCAGGGGAAACTTTGAAAGGAAATGAAGCCTCTAGTATATGTCACATTCTCTCCCAGGCTCCCTCTTTCATCCCTCAGACTTCACACTTCTGAGAAGGTGCTTCTGAGGTCTGGGAAACACCGTGTGAAAGAGACTTCTTTCTACTTTGGGCACTAAAAGCCATAGGTTTTGTGCCCAAATTATCCTAACAAGAACCTTGCTTATTTCTGGTTCTTCACAGAGCTCAGCTGTCCTCTTTCCTCCAGGGAAAACCTTTGCCGCAAGGGCTTTCCCCTGCTCCAGTTCCTGCTGGCCACTTCCAGAAAGCCAGGATGAGGGGACCCACTGCATGTGGGCTGCTCATCTTTTTTCTTCCCCCGCCCTCTTCTGTGTAGAATGCTCATTTGCATATGCAATTTGAGTGTAGACAATCAGCTGAGTTCTAATTTTGGGCTCTGCCAGATCCAAAAACCTTATTTTAACTGAAAAAATATTTTGGTTTCTTCTTTCTATGAACATTTAAACATACAGTTTGAACATAAAGGGATACTAAATTGTTAAGTTCCTTGAGGACACGACCTTTTCAATATAATTGAAAAGGGACTAATGTAAGCAGAGCTAGGTTTCTGCCCCGGTTCTGCCTTCTGGTTTAAGTACGGCCCCACGCAAGTTATGTCATGTTGCTGAGCCTCTGTTCCCTCATTTGCATACTGATGACAATAATACCCACCCAGCTGGTGTCACAGAAGTAGTGCTGTTATGTGCAAAGCAACTAACTTGGCCATGGTACACAGGTGGCTCTTAATGGATGTTGTGAAAAAGATGTGTTCTCCCTCTGCCTCATCCCTTTCAACGGTACAAATTTAAAAACCCAAAGATTAAAGAAAAGAGTTCAAGCAAGAATCCTCATGACAAGGGCTGGCTCCTCTGGCATCTTCAACTTGGAGTCCCGGGGCTAATGCAGTGCATCAATCTTGGTCATACCTTGCTGTGGAGGGTTTGTAATCCACAAGTGACTGGTGCTCAATAAATAACAATAAACATTATTATTCTTATGATTTCCACATAAAAGATGTATTCTTGGTCCTAGACACATGTTTTCTTAAATAATAGTCTCATACTGAGTGGGGGTCTGAGTTGAGGTTTTTCACTGCAGGCTTTCATTGCTCTCTTTCTGCATACATGGCCCCAGCCAACAGAGTGAAGTTGTGTGGAATGTGAGTGTGTCAGTGCTTGTGAGAAGGACAGACAGAGGGAGGTGGGGTTTGGTTCCAGAAGGAAGTTTGTTCAAAACCCCAGAGGCAGGATGGCTGAGGGCCTCTGGGGTCCTCCTGCTGCTGTCACTGTCCTCAGCCTTGCCTAGGACATATGCACATTTCCCATCACGAAATAACAGAGAAGAGGGAGGAGAGAACCAGCTCCTAGGCTAGCCCTTGGTGCCCACTTTTGGAGGATGCAGAGAGGTGGCTTCTCATTCCTTCTCTCCACACCCCTGTACGGAGAAAGAGAGGAAAACATATTTGTTTACAGAGGTAGAGGAGGAGGAGGAGGGGAAAGAGAAAAAGAGAAAGAGAAAGGAAGGTGGCAGTAGCAGTAATGGTTGTCTCTGGAGTGTTTCTACTGTTCTGTGGTCTCTTTTCTCTCTCTGATTACTCCTTTCTGCTGTGAAAGACCTCATTCTCTCTTCTGTAGCTTCAGGTCCCCCATTTTGCCTTCTGAGAAGCACGTCATGCTCTAGACCAGGAGTCTACAAACTTTCTCTGTAAAATGCCAGAGAGTAAATAGTTTAGTCTTTGTGGCCTGGTGGTCTCCATCACAGCTACTCAGCTCTGCTGCTGCAGCACGAAGGCAGCCCTGGACACTGAATGGGTGTGACTGTGCTCCAACAACAAAAACAGGAACGAGGCCAGACTTGGCCTACATACCATGGCTTGCTGATCCCTGCCCGAGACCTCTCCTGACCTCTTGTTCACCATCAAAACTTACACATGCCATGTCCCATTCTTTTGGGCTCTGACTCTGGGGGCAGGAAGCACACTGCTCATGTGACACACCATGGGGTTAAAGGTTAGCATGGTTTGATGTGTTCTCTCCCGCAGTCAATAATGTATACACTTAATAAGAAATGCCTTTACCTAAACAGTCATCAATGTGGAATTTCAGGTGTCCTGGCCCATCTGAGTGTGAGTCTGAAGACAGAGGGACGGAGGGGCCTTTTGGCACCTCTCAAAGTACAGACATGCCACAACCCAGCTGCCAACAGGAATGTGGACCATCACTACCCATCGCCCAGTTTCTGTCTACTGTGTTGTAAATATTATAGGCATAACGGTGTCCTTTGACTTCCTTGGGGAATTGCCAAGCTGCTGTGGTGATGTTCACTGAGGCTCTGTCTTCTCTTTCAGCAAGGGCAGACCTGCCTGTCTCGGATCCCAACTTCTTCATGAATTTATGCAGTTCCCAAAATACACCCTAATGGATTTGTCCAAGAAAAAGGAAAACTCTGAAAGAGCCAGGAGATTTCTCCCAGAATCAGCAGGAGTACTGGAAACCAGAAGATGAAGAAAAACCTTAAGACAGCCCAGGAGGGGAGTGGAGGGAGAGGCGGCCTCTCTCTGTTGCCAGAGACTCCCACACCCAGATGCAGACTGGAGCGATCCCTCATAATTTAAGCTGACACCCCTCAGCGGAGATGAAAGGAACACCACTCGCTGTTCTCCAGCAACAAATGTCAACATCCCTGGAGGCCATTTAGACACAAGCGCAGCATAAATCTGACTCCTAGTGGGGAAGTCCGGAGATTAAGTCTCCACGCACAGCCTACCAGAGTGAAATGAATTTGCTTGGCACAAAGTTTGAACATGTTTCTCAGGGCCTTTCTTTCCCCTTTCTTGTTAAAAAAAAACAATCTGGAATGGTTCAGGGCTGTTGTTCTCTTTGCTGGTCCTCCCACTCACTTATGACATAAGCAATTGCAGATAAAAGACCCAGCCATGGTTTACGACTCGGAGACGAAGCTGTACTACCTGTGGGGCCTCGGAGATTCATTTCAGGTTATTGGAAAAATCCCAACGGCCCATAAACAGGGTGAGAGATATCTGAGCTTGGCCCAGGAGGCAAGGGTGAAGGAGGGAAGAAGAGAGACCCTCATGCCAGGGGAGGGAGAGGCAGGAACAGGCCTCAGATGCTTCCCCAGTGATGAGCCTCGTAAATGTCTTTCAGACTGGGGGAGTGGAGGAAGGGTCTGGGGTTTGTTATGGGGGTAGGGAGGAAAGAAAGAAATCAGGGAGGAATTTATGAAGACAGGATATATAGGAAGCTATTTCAGCCACTGCCCTGCATTGCAGGATTGGAATTCCATTCTTCCTGAGAATAACAGTCGTCAACACTGGATGTGTACAACTCAAAGCAGCATTTAAAATCCAAGAGGCAATAAGTGTGGTTTTTTAGAAAACCGAAGTCCACGCAGCTACTGTTTAGAAACTATCCTACACATAGTTCTTTAAGGAGGTCTCCACTTAAACCAAGAAACAGGCTCTGGTGAAAGATTTGACTTGGAACTTGTTCATTTAATCATGGTCTCGATAAGCATTTACTGTGGGCTCTTGTGTGAGGCACTGTGCATGGACAATACTGGGACGAAGGATGGTGAAGATTCAGCGTCTGCTCTCCCAGAGAACTCAGCTTAGTAGAGGAAAAAGATCCAGTACCAAAATAGTGATAACTCTGCTCAGAGGAGCTAGAAGAGGGGACAGGGGAAGGCTGCACAGTGCAGGTGTCACCCGAGATGAAAATAAATGAGATAAAAGATGAACAGAAGTTTCCAGGTACAAAAGGAGAGAAAGGGCATTTTATGCCAAGAGAACAGAACATTTAATGGCACAAAAACAAGATGTTAACCTGGGAAGGGGGGCTCCCCAAAGATAAACTCTCCTTGCATGACACTATACACTCAGCACTGTTCTGTGTCCTTTGATGGAGTAAAAAGAAGAACCCCTTGCTCTTAAGGAACAGAAATTCACGTTAGAGAGTTAACATGTAGGAGACAATAGAGAATATTAAACAGTCTGTGGTTTAAGTTCTTCAGGCATTGTAAAGACTGGGAATAAAAATGTGAGCATTTAGAAAGGAGTGTCAATTAGCCAGAGAAGTTTGTGAACTAAGAAAGCTCACAGGTAAAGGAGGAGTGGATTTGGAAAGCCAGAGGGGAAGGAAGCAGGTGTTCCAAAGAAAGGCTCAGCCTGCCTGGGACCACAGGGAAGGTGAGAGAGCCTGTGCAGAGATGAGTAGGGGAGCCTCTGGGCCTCAAGAGGGTG